TAGATAATTCTCTTTTCCACGCCAGCGCAGTGGGTGCTGTTGGGCTGAAAGGCTTTCCATGCGGGCAGAAAAGCAAAAAAGCACGCTCTTTCAACCTTATTTCGACCCCTCCTGTTTGGCACTAACGAACTCGGTTGTAGCTTCTCCGCTCTCACGGCCGAAAGTTTTGTAATGGCTTCAAATAAAAAATTATACAGAAGAACGACGAGCGGCTTGTTTCTGAATTAGGCCTTGTGTTTGCTGTTTTGGGGGAGGGTGGGAGGGGGTCGGATTTGAAGAAAAGTGAGGATTGGCGATGAATATTTTTTGAATTATACTAATCATTATAATCATTATACTTTATGCCTCACTCATCTGATAGCACAGGCTATTTTGTTGTAAAATATCGGGAATTATTTTTTGACGTTCCTATTTAAAGCGTAGAAAATTCATCGCTTTGGCAGGCTAGTGCTCTTTAACCTATGTCCTTGACGTGCTCTGTTTTCACTCAAAACAACAAAGCACTTCATAGTGACACAATCCAGCTTTTTTAGATTCTTCTTTAAAAACTACATATGGCAGTAACTATGTTACATTCTCTACATGGAATAGGCAGCAAATAAAATCCCGTAAAAGCTTGCCTGAAAAGCTTTCTCACTTTTGCAACAGACCCTGTAGACGAGCGCCGCGCGTGGACACACGTGAAAGTGACTGTTAGTGTTGTACTTCAGTGTAACCTAAACCACCTTATAACACCTAAGATAATAACACCGGTAAAAATCTATATCTCCTTAATGCTTGCGTACTTTGAATTTGTTATTGTGCATTTTGTTTTTGCGCGGCCGAGCCAGTTGCAACGCGGAAACGCTTCTTAGCCGAGTAGGTAGATCGGAATGAAAAAAATTAACTTGTGTATGCAACGTCTTCAATGTACCCCACTAATCACGCAATGCAGTTATGAGTCACTACCATTTTTCAACAGCCAAGAATAACAAAATCAGTTAATGTATACTTACATGTTAGTGTTACAAGATTTTGTCTCCTTAGCGGGGCAAGATCTGCCGTTGCACGAACTGTATCTTGTGATGATTGGTGAGCGCGAATGACTCGATATTCCGCACCCCAAACACGGGCCCCAAGAGCTCCAGCTGTATAGACAATTCACCGGACAACAGTTAGAGTTGCATGTTTTCGTTTCTTTGAGGTGATAAGCACAGCCTCCTCCGCAGGACTCAGTTACTGTTTTTCTCCTGGTGCGAGTGGTTAAACCACTGCCGCACGTTCGAGTGCAGGTACTCCAAGATGTCCAACTGCTTACTCTGCAATTGACAGCTGAACAACTTCGTCTCCTACGACTCCACCAGGCATTTGAAAGCGAGAAAAGAACACTGAGCGCTAGAAACAAACGAACACAATGTACCATGTTTAAAAAAATAAAAACATTGATAAAAGGGGCTTAAAACTGCCCTTCGACATAAAGCAATTTCGTAAATTTTCTCCGCCCGCGTTGTGCTAGGACCTGCTAGTTACGGTAATAGTAGACTATTCATGATGTTATTAGCAGGTTAATATTTCCCGCGTTGCAATACATGGCATCATATAACCTTGGTATGGACACAGACTGCTGTGGGAAGGGGGGAGGGGTGGATTTAGTATCCCGTATTCCCTTCGGCTTGCCTCGGTTCTTCATTTCATGGTCTTTCCCGGTTTGGTTACCGTCGGTTCGGAAAAATAGTTTACCAGGGCCACCCTTGGGTCTGGTCAATAGTTTACCCGGAAAGTTTCGTTCCATTTCCTCAACAGTATTTCTGAAATATTAAATTGCACCTTTTATTGAATGAAGGGCGCCGTAGATATAGGCAACTATTTCTATATTTCTGACAGAATATATTTAGTCGCCCTTTTTTTTCTGTAAAGCCCAAGAACGAGGGTCCCTGAATAGCCTCTTCGCCCTCTTGTCGTCACCACCCAGATTTTTGATCACTCTCGTAATGCCGACGGGGCAGGTGGGCAGTTTCCCAGAAACCTTGAATTGATCCAAATCTGCAGTTCGGGATGAGACTGAATCCAGCCTTGTTGCCAGGGGTCAGATCTCCTACCCGTCCCTACGGAGCGAGAGAGATTTGGGTCTGGTCACGTGTCTCCAGAACAAAATGAGTCCTTTGTCTCTCAATTTTGTGTCCGGCTCGTTTTCACCGTTCAAAAACGACCTCGTTCCCAGGGTAAATCCCGCATCCCGGAAAACCTACTGGAGACGGCTCAAGAACAACGCTCACGCCATGCTCACGCCACAGTAACATGTGAAGCACAGGCGATAAAAATCAGACGTAAATGTAATTTCACAAGACTCAAATTAGGCAATCGATCTAGCAGATAGAATATCCGCAGGAATTTTTTTAATTTGTTGACTGAGTAAGAATTGACCGGATAAAAATTATTTGAATTACCAACCGATTTTTCAGTCAACATCCGTTCCTCACCGACATCTAATTAATTTGTAGGCTAACAAGGGTCGCCGACAAGCTAAGACAGGAGCCCATGTTTGCTCTACGAGCAGGAGCTGGTGTTACGATTCATTCTCTAGTAATAAATAATCAGTCTTCCAGACGCCAAGTATCCACACAGTAACGAAGCATGGCTGTGTTGTCTGTGATCACAGGTGAACCCGATCGATGGTTCCTGAGCAATACGGTATCGGTTTTGCGGTCTGGGCCGTTTTGGGGTCGGATTTCAATGATCCCAAAAATCTACGGTTCTATATTGCATATTTGTAGTATTGCTGTGTTGTAGAGTCTATTCGAGAAAAAGGACTGAATTAGGGTTTGTAAGAAACAGGCTATTTGCGAGTTTCCCCCGGCCACTGGATCAAAACGAGGTTAAGTGCTCAGCCTTTTAATAATATGAAAATTCTTTTTCATTCTCATGCATATAAAATTCATTTTCACATGAAAGGTTGTGCACTTGGCCTTATTTTAAAAGTGAGCGTTTTTGGAACTCGGAAGTGGCCTATTATGCATAAGTCAATTCCAGTGCGATCTACAATATCTGGAGATGAGATGGGTCGGAGGAAATAAGGGGGAGGCTTGCTACGGCGACGAACAATTTGTAGAAGTTGAAATTCTTGTGGAATGGTCAAGATCCTCAAACAAAACTAAGAATTCTTAGAAAATGCGTTTTCCTTAAGGCTACATATGGCTGAGAGACTTGGATACTTGGAAAAATTACTTTAAAACGAATTAACGCTTTTGAAATGAAATGTTAAATGTTGGAATGTTAATGTTATAAAATATCACGAACGGAGCACAGAACAAATAAGTCAATTAGGAAAGAACTCAAATTGAAAGATCAGTGGTTGGAGATCTTTACAAAGAAACAAAAGTTCAAGTGTTTTGGCCATTTGAAAAGAAGTGAGGGCTTGAGCAAAAAACATCTTGCAGGAAAGATAGATGGGAAAAGAGAAACAGGAAGACCGAGAGGGCAGTGGGAATTGGACACACGGAATATTTTTGATATGTCTGTAACAGAAGTTGGAAGATTGGCAATTGACAGAAACTGTTAATTCTGCTGTGCGGTCAAGGATACAACGTCCTATGGGGATAAGCAGTCAGAGTATTGCCGGAGTAGAAGTACTTGCTTGTACCTTGTTTTAAATAGTTCCTTCGTTAAAAAAAAAACTGACATTTAAATCTAAACATGGTTCGTACAACTTCAGACGAACAAATTTCAAGGACTTTTCAAGGATTTTTCAAGAACAAATAACAGTTTTCAAGGACTAAGATTTTTTAAATAATTCTTTAACCCCCTATAATCACCCTATTGGCTAAAACACATCGTGGAGTCATTTACGATTTTTACTTCTTCTCTTTTTAACTTCTTTGGCCATCGTTGATCACATTATCACGGCTATTTTCCGCAACATACTTTGCAAAATGAGTGGGTATAACTTGGAACTTGCAGTTACATCGAGGTACAGAAATAGCATTTGAAATAATAAAGAAACAGAAATAAAATACTGTTCATGCACAAAAACGTTTTTACGTTACCCGTGAGTTGTACAGGTTGTTACACCGAGGATGAGCCAAATTTTCCTCGGCAAAATAATCTAAATTTACAGAAAACGGTGTGGCATAGACAAGGTAGTGAATTTCAAGGATTTTTCAAGACCTAATAAGAAATCAAGTACTTTTCAAGGACTTAGACCGAATTCAAGGACTTTTCAAGACGACTAGTAAAATTCAAGACCTTTGCAAGATTGTACGAACCAAGTTTAAGAATGTGCTGTAAGGTTATCTGTTCTGATTACTCAGTTTGATAGTATGAGAGGGAGTTATTAAAATAATAGATCTAGATCATAGTAGTATTCTGAATTTTATTCAAATTCTAGACTGAACAGAAATTTGCCGGATTCAATAACAAAAACAAAGTCAATTCACCTCAAAAGCTCCCGATTTCGCTATGAAAGTTCTGGCTTGATAAGCAGTAAAGAGGCCCTGCCAAGGGGGGGGGGGGTACCATGTGTCCCGTCTGAATTTTAAAACGTCTCGTGTCGGTGTTTATGAATGCTTGTCGCTTATTGTCGGCTTTGCCGTCACTATCGCAATTTGGCCGAGGGAGGTTGTCTCTTGTCGCGATTTCATTTTACGCGCTGTCGCTACTTTTTGGGCCATGTCGCTTGCTGCAATTTACCCTGGCAGGGCCTCAATAAAGAAATGCATCCATAACATTGAGAAAACATGCCTTTAAAAACCTCTGCAAGTTTTTCCAGTCCTCGAGAGATGAGCCAATCTGCCAATCTACTTAAGTATGTTTCCAGTAAAATCCTCCATGTTTAAGAAATAGAACACAAACAGCGGTGATAAACATATTCAACTTACTCATTTTTATGAACTTGACGTTTCGTATGCTACTCAACATACATTTTCAAAAGCACCGTTACAATTTTGAAAACTATACTTAATATATAATAGTGAAAAGGGACTGGGACCGCAATTAAGAACAAATCTATAAAAAGAAACAGCTAATTAATAAAGCATAAGCTTCTCGCTACTGACGTTTATTTTGAAAGCTGGCTTCAGTTCTTGTTTAAGCAATGTTTCTTTGATTTTCCAGTAATAATCAGTTTTTCCCGCCATTAACATATCAAAATGATCCCACTTGATGTTGTGTCCAGTGGTGTTGACAAGGTCAGCAATGGCTGATGTGTGGTCATTTTTAGCGAGGGTCTTGAAATGCTCAGTTTTTCTATCATGAAGCCTTCGTTTAGTTTTACCAATGTAAAAATCTTTACAATCGTAACAACTGGCTTTGTAAATAACTTTAGATTGTTGAGAACGATTGTAAGGAAAAAAAGATTTGATGTTAAGTTATGTTTGGAAAGGAAACCATGTGCATGTCAAAAGCTTGGGGCTGCACAAAATTTGCTAATGCCCCACCCCAAGGACTGACAAGGCCCAGGCAGGCAAATGCTCCTCAGTGGCCCTGAGGGTGGAGGGGGGGGGCGGAGAATTGCTGGAATTGACTGATACACTAGAATAGAATTAACTTGAGCTGATTTGCCCTTTTGGGCTTTTCGATTCTTATCATGCTTTCACTGTTTTTGCTGATTTATTATTGCAGTTTTGTGGTTTATATATATATAGGCCTACTGCTGTGGCTACCCCAAATATTCTGTTCACAGGCCTTCTCAGCCTTTATTAGAAAAAGGAATAGAAGGACGGCAGGGAATTTGCTGACCTTCAGTGCAAGGGGTGGGAGTGGCTGCTCTGCACCCTGGGAAAGGGGTACTCAACTTAGTCCAATCCCTCACCACTTCATATACCATTTTTGACAGGAAAGGTACCCCTTTTACATACTTTCTATTGACAAATGGTACCCCTTTCACACACCAAGTTTTACAACTTTGCATCCCTTTTAACTGCTATAAATGCACTGTCTTTTAAATAAGAATAAGTCAAGATCGCATTCAATTGAGAATCACAAATTGCCTTTGTTTACTGTATAACAGGTGTAGAATCGATTATAACAGTGAATATGAATTTGACCAATCAAACCATCACTCGATCGTGTTAAAAACCTGGTAAAATGTTCTCCAGTGCTCAGCAGAAATGAACTTCACCTGATGGGCAACACATTTGGAAAGCAAACCTTTCTGAGCAAGGCGACAAGCGAGGCAGGACAGGCACAAAGAGCCATCGAGAAGAAACAGAAAAAGTCCCTGTTATTCGTCCACAGTCATTAATTTCAGCTGTTTTCTGGAGCATTGGATAATATTTTACCAGGTTTGTATTATGATCGCATGACGGTGTGCTCTTCAATTCTAGAGTAAACAAAGGCAATTCAAGCTATCAAAAGTATCAACTGTAAAATTGAAGGTCAGAAATAACTCCTCTGTGCCCTGTGGTATAGTCATAACATATCATGTATAAAGCATAATCCTAACAACACAAACAGACCCGATGGAAGGCCTGCGGGCAAATGCCAGACGACATTTATTTGACTGGGGGGGGGAGGTTATCCCTATAACGGCCTATTTGGGGAGGCTTCGCCTGAAAGGGGTACCTAACATATATGATCCAATGCAAAAGATGTAAAAAACAATATATAGGTGAAACTAAATGCACACTTCGTTAATGCTTTAAAGAACATAGACAGGCAAATAGACAGGCGACAAACAATCCACTCCACGCAAATGCCCCTGCAGCAGTCCCTTCCCATTTTAATCAACCTGGCCACTCGATCGCAGACATGGAACTTATTCCACTGTTATTACAACCCACCCTCAGCATGTCACGCCGTAAGGCAAGAGAAGCATACCTCATAGATAGAGGCAAAACCCTGTCACCAGACGGTCTGAACCGAAGGAATGAACATTGAACTGCTTGTATTTCTTTTCTTATTGTTTAATCATTTACCTGTATATCATTCTATCTAGTATTTTATAATTGTAGTTAATTATTAACCACTTACGTGAATTTTAAATTCAAATTTTAGGAGCCGTTAAAAGATATTTCCTCTCAGTATAGCTCTGGCCCTGAGGAGGGCTAAATTTGTTAGCCGGGATATTGGCCGATAATAAATCAGCCCTTTGCCGTAGTGCCAGCCATGCATTCAGTTTTGTCTTATTTTACCTTTTTCAGGCTTCAGGTATATGAAAAAGTAGGGATAATTTTCACCAGTTGAAGTATATAAAAGGGTAGGGAAATCTGTCATTTGGGCCTGTGAAAGGGCCCAAAAAGGCTAACAGATGAAATTTACGGCTTAAATATGTCGAGAAAATGTTCTATTGTTGTGATTGCTTCCTATTAAAAAGGCAGTGCATTTACAGCAGTGAAAAGGGATGCAAAGTTCTAAACAAGGTGTGTGAAAGGGGGACCATTTGTGAATAGAAGGTAAACAAAAGGGGTACCTATTTCGTGAAAAATGGTATATAAAAGCGTAAGGGGTTGGGCCACGGGGTGGAGTCTCCCCATATAAACATTTGTTGAGTACCCTTCCCCCCCCAGGGGGGTTTTGATCAATGTCAATCAAAGTTAATTGCATGTCACTAACCTTTTTTTCTTTTAAAAAAAAATTAAATACTTAAAAACACATTATGCTATTTCTACATATAATGCTTACTTATATCATTATATATACTTACTTTTCTTTTCTCTAAGATGATGGTTGAGACTATTCTAAATCAGGAGTCAATAGAATAGATCCCACTATGGCTTTTCCAACCGTAACATGGACCAGTTAGCAAAAAATCCGTCGAAACCGCTGGAAATAACGTCTTAAAATTCAGTACAGTTGCCGATTTAGAGAGTTATTTGTTGAAAGATAATTAACGAAGATAAAGCTCCGCAGAGTCGAAAAATTTTACAGACGGCACCATATGAAAACCAACGTTTCAAAACTTCTCGACTTTTCGAAGCTATATCTTGGTCCACTTCAAACGAATTACTTTCAAACTCGGTCTGTTTACTAATCTTAAAGCGCTTTTACCAGCGGTTTCGCAAAATATTTGCCAACTGACATCCTTAATAATATTATCGACAATCGATCAAGAGCTGTAGGGCGAGATAGAGATTGGTGGTGCTGTGCAGGACTGTGCAGTCACATTCCCGCCAACATGTATCAGGCTTGGTAGGTACTTCATATAAGATTGCGTTTTATCCGTGGGCGCAGTAGTTGAAGATGAACAAAAAAACAAAATGGCGGCTTTAAGTAGCTATGACGCATCGTATAGCGGTCTTTTAGGCCTCGCAGAGACGTTTAGAACATCTAATCCGCCTAAGATTAAGCAATGCATACAGTGCCTCCAGTCTGTGTTTCACTTTCAACCATCTCCTGCTATCCAAGCTCGTACTCATCTCCAACTTGGAAGGCTTCTTCAAAGATACACGAAGAACACCGACATGGCTCGTTCACATTTAGAGAAAGCTGTGAGTTTGAATTCGAAATTTGGGCTAGATTCTTTCCCCGTTAATGCTGTCTATGCGGTATTAAGCTTGTTTATTTTGTTTGACAGGTTGTACTAGCTCAGTCTGTATCCTTTCTAAAATCTAAAACTGTACGTGTCGTAATAGCGCTAGCTACATGTAGCTTAATGTAGTGAATCGATTTTGATGGACAATATTACTTCAGTAGTTTCCAAGATGAAGCCATCCAATCATAGATGTGACCGAACTGCGTGTTAGCGTTTGGCTTTTTAATAAGTGTGTCATTGGCAGTCACTGTTTCTCTTTAGTGTACAGTGTAGTAGCTGTTACGTTTTTGGGGCATCAGTTGTGGAAGATCTTGTATGTTTCAAGCAGCCAATCTTCACTAAATGAGTAACCTCGCTAGGTTGATCCTCAATTTCCTTTGTCTTCTAACAAAAATCACCAAAAATTATTAATCGCTTCGTCTTCAATTATCTTGCCGTTGATAACGCAGGTCAAACAGCAGATAACAAGCACACAGACAGCATGATTTTTCCTTTTTTTCTTCTGGCGAGTAAAACCGACAAGGCGTTGGGAGGTGATACTTTTCAGAACCAGTCAGTAATACTCATCTGCTGACAGGCCTTTTCCTTCATACACTTCTTTAACTGCCTTGTTCTATTCTCCTTTTAAGCTGAAATTGATGCCTTCTAACGATGAATTCCCATAGAGAAATCTCATCACGCTTCACTAACGACATATTTTTAGTTACTCAAATGGCGTGATGTTGATTTCAACCAATCAGAAAAAGGTAATAAGTCGAAGATTGACATTTAATTAATTCTGACCAATCACTATTTTCATGCTCAGAATCTGAGCGTGAAAAATGGAGAAAACGATGGCGTCCTTGCAGGCGTTCCTTTCCATTCTCCCTTGCGCACCCAAATTCCCCCTTTCCCCTCCCCTTTTAACGCCTGCCATGCAGGCTAGATCAGACAAATCCCAGTTAGTATTTTCTAGCTTGTGTCTAAATTCATTGACTCTTTTCTCTCTGGTATCTCGGATAGTAAGGCTGTCGCTGTCTTTATGCAAGTAATCGCCAAAGCAATATTGTAAAGATCGGTAGGCAATCTGAGTTATAACTTATGATCAAACCACTTTTCGAGGATACAGTTGTATTGTTTTAAAAAATGTTGTCTACAAGTGTCCCTGAATGTGCTGTAATTCTTCTGGGTTTTGTAATCATTGGCAGGTTGATTCAATGAACTGAGCAGTGACTGAATGGGATTCATGTTTCAGTAAATCCAAATTAAAATCGCCAGTTATATAAGAATGCTGTATTGCCTTTGGTAACACCTGAGATGATTTCGTTAATTTTGTCTGTGAATTCCAGAGTGTTTTCTGAAGGAGGTCGAGGGCGATAAAAAACTCCGATTATCAATGGTATTTTTATGTTGTGAAATGTAATTTCAATGAAAAGAGAGTCAATGATATTTCCATTGGAAACATTAAACTCTGTCAAGATTTTGTTATGAGAAATCTTGTCAATAGAGAGCCTGAACCCTCTGCCAACTCTACTCTATTAATTTCTAACAAAATGGAACTGTCAAAACTAAAGTCATTAACATTACTTTCTTTAACCCATGTCTCAGTTATGGCAAGAACTGAAAACTTATGATTTATATTAGCCTGTAAGTGGGAAAGGGCATCTTGGTTTTTAACTAGCTAGACTGTGGACATTTAAGTGTGTTGCCTCCATGATTATGCTAAACTAAGAAACTGAGAATCAAAGTGTTAAAAAATTGTCACCTGAATTTCATTTTAACCTGCATGTATATGTTGTGGTTAATTTTTTATCCCAGGTAATTTTTATTTTTCCTTTGTTTCAACTTCATTAGCATACATTACGATACCCAAAAACAAAGGAAAAAGAAAAATTACCTGAGATAAAAAAT